GTTTCGGGAAGCCGCAATACATATCTCAGTCAATCAGTGAACTCTCCACATTAAAGGCTGGCTGAAAAATTACATATCTACGGAAGCAGAAATATAAAGCTTAAGACGTTACAATTTTGTGTCATACCAGGAAAGAGAAAACTACCCACAGAGTTCCACCACACAGCTATGTGGTATGATATATATACATACATCTAATGCAGCACATTTTTTGGTGTGAAATAGATAGCAGTAGCCACATTAAATTTTTTTTATTTTAATAGAATACAGCAGATGAAATCTCGCACAAAGCACAGCTAAGCATGAAAGGTTACTGAGACTGACCAACTAAAACAAACAAAACAAAACAAAAAAGAACAGCAAATGAGATAAAAATAAAAATGTTGACACAAGCCATCAGTGGAATGCCACAGAAGAAATATTCTGTCAAAATGGTAGCAGCCGGATGTAAAAGATCTGTGCTACATGACTGCCCAGTGTGTGCAACTGTGGAGTAAACAACACAACTAGATTACAATCATGACAGTATTTGTAAATGTCATAGTTTCTGAAGTAAACACAACTGTGGAGTAAACAACACAACTAGATTACCAATCATGACAGTATTTGTAAATGTCATAGTTTCTGAAGGAAACACAACTGTGGAGTAAACAACACAACTAGATTACCAATCATGACAGTATTTGTAAATGTCATAGTTTCTGAAGTAAACACAACTGTGGAGTAAACAACACAACTAGATTACAATCATGACAGTATTTGTAAATGTCATAGTTTCTGAAGGAAACACAATCAAGGGTAACTCTCACGTCAATAATGCAGTTACTAGCAAGTCTTGGTTTTATGGAAATCCCTGGAGTACGTCTCTGGATATACAGAGTTCATGCTTTGTGTGACACTCTCAGCGATGGCTAGCTATTCTGCAGAGAGAGGCCGTGCGATACGGAACAGCTCACGGCAATGAAGTCAAGCCTCTTGACGTAAACTGTCAGTCTTTATATGAGCTTAACAATCCCAGGCATATTCACACCAACTGCGCTTGTCTTTCATTGTGATCACAACAACTCACATTGCTGCACATTTGACATTCCCTTATGTGCTGTCCTTGGGTACAGCAGCAGCTGCCCCACGGTACCTCTAGTGAGTGTTCACATAAAAAGTTAGTTAGTCTCATACCTTGACCTAAAAGATAGCACAAAGATGGTTGGCCAGGCTTTACTTTCAGATCATATAATCAGGTTAGCATCAGAGATTTATCATTATATTTGAGCTTTGTCTGAACAGCAATGATGATATCATCTTTGTCTATGCTTCTTCCTGCAAAAGCGATGCAACACTTGCCAGTTGGTCCACCTGATCTTTACCTGATACTCCATTATGAGCAGGTGTGCAGATCCAGGTGACAGAGGTTATGTGTGACTTCCCAGGACTGTGAACCAATTAAGAATGAAGGCTTAGCTGGCTTATCTTCTACTGACTATCTCAAACTGTTTTTATCCCACACGCACAGATCCCTGCATACTAGTCAACAGAGACTTTCTTCAACTGATCCTGATCCCATCAAGTGCTGCCCTTAATGCTGATCTTTACCATGATACTTATGCATGTCCTCTGACTATCTCTAAAGAGGATCATATTTATTTTATTCACACAAAAGGCGAGGAAAAGAAAGAGGCAGACAATAGAAGTCATGGACTTATAACTAAAAATTAACAGACAGCCTTTGGTACTGCCACAGTGATACATTTGTCTACAGATGAGGTATGCAAGACCTTGGCTAGAAACATCTGTTCTAGTACCCTAAAAAGTAATGATGGTTGAAAAAAAATTTTAAGATAGAAACCTGACATAAAATTGAAAGTTACACATACAAAAATAATTGCCTATAAATTCCAGCATTTATTTATGGCTATATGGTTTTACAAGGAGGTAATCTTTAAATTAAGTAATCTACTACTAGTTCCTAGATGGGGTCTCAGTAGTGAAACTGTCAAGTGGTTTGTCTGGCGCTCTGAAGATCGTGTGTTCGTTTTATGTTTTATGTCATTCGGTTCATCAGTGTCATATTTAGGGAGATCCCTGGGGATCATCGCAGGAGCTATGGAGTTCATGTTTCTATGACCTTCTCAGCAGGTGACAATGAAGTCAATTCTCTCAACTTTAACTTTTCACTTTAAGACACTCTTGCACTGTCAAAAATCTATGCAAAGAAGTCTGCTGCAGCCAAACAGCAACTGACTTTGGACCTCAGCCTGTCAGGATAATGAAACTGGGTTCACAACCATTAAGACACAAAGATTTCTTATTCTAACATATTTTCTGTTTATAATAGTTAGTGAAATGGCTTCTCAGTGAATTTCTCAGTGTTTTTTAAGATTCTAACTCTTTACGAAAAGATAATCACTGTGGCTTTCAGAGAGCGGCACGAAAGTTACCCTAAAAAAAGAATGGGGCTTTACCATGCAGTATTCCCAAGTTAGCCCTGGATACCTTACAGTCGACCTCCACTGTGGAGATGGCACAGTTTTTATTTTATTTAATACCTCTTTTGCACATAGCATAGGGAAAACAGCTCCAGACAATCATGGTGTTGACAACAAAGCAATGTCAAAAGAAGCAGAAGATATCACTGATAATTCAGAACACGAGTACTTGATACAAACATATCTGAAACATTACTGCTCCAATGAAGAAATATCTATCCAAATAAGAAATATAACTAAGATTCCCAATACTCAAATCATGAACACAAAATGAATGTTGCAGCTAGAAAGCCTTCATTAGCATACAACAAAAATGAACGATGAGGTGTGTCAAAATCTCCACACATGCTTGAATAGCAGAAGCTCTGCAGTACATGTGTCCTTACAGGATACAGATATACTCAACAGGAAGTTACCCAAACAGAATGGGTGATACAGATATACTCAACAGGAAGTTACCCAAACAGAATGGCTAGTCAGGTAAGCAGTGTTCCAACGAAGGCTGCCTCAATCCTCCATACAAACTCACAGAAAGAAAGTTGGAACAAGACTGTGTCTGAATTATACTGACAGACAAAGAACGAAATGGTTCAGCCATCTAGTAAGAATCCAGCCAGACTAAACCGCATATGAGACTTTTTAACAGCAGAATGCCTGGGAGGATTGCGAGGGGAAGAACAAGAAATAGAAGATAAATGGTGTGGCTGAAACCTGCCACATGATGAACAAGTCTACAATGAAAGCCACACAAGAAGCACAAGATAAATACAGAAAAGCTCAAAGAGACAGCAAAAGAACAGATATTTAAGCACATTTTTAAATGCTTACAGTGAATTTAAGCGTAATCTTTGACAGCTGCTGGTCCACTGTTTGGGTTCACATTTGCTCCTCCTCGGATGCCAAAGCTCTGGGCAGGCTGGCCTCCTGGGTGCTGTCCAGGTCGTATAGGCTTAGCTGAAGAAGAGAACAAATTTAACTTCTCACAAAAGTAACAAATTATATTTCACACAAAAGTAACAAATTATATTTCTCACAAAAGTAAAAAATTATATTTCTCACAAAAGTAACAAATTATACTTCTCAAAAAAGTAACAAATACTTCTAAAAAAAAAAGTTACAAATTATATTTCTCACAAAAGGAAACGCCTTCAATTCATCAAACATTCTGTTTCTGAGAAGCAAATGTAAACACAGACAATGCTTTTATTTTTATGGATTTCAGTTTAAAAATAAAACAGATGATATACCATAAGCACTGAGGCTGTCGGTCCGGGTACCCAATTAACGAATCTTCTTCTTCTGCAAACACCCTAAAAATGGCGACTGGCACATTATAATGTGTTTTGCAGCTAGGCTGTGATGTATGCCCTTTCAATCCAACACATCTGAATAATGAGAACCCTTCACTAATCTCTGTTTATGACATGCTATAATAATTATCACAGGTAATGCACTTATACAAATGTCAACACTACTACTAGTTAAAACTGTCACTATAACTATAATTACCACCACTACTCTATACCCATGTGCTATGGCCACACTCCAGTTGTCTGGACCATCTGCTAGGACTGTCTGGTCAATGACTGTTCACAGCCGGTTTACAGCCCGAGCTCATTTCCCTTACTTCAGGTAGTTCACCTAGCTTCTATGGCTTTGGTGCACACCATGACAATCTCATGTTTAGTGCTTTTCTGGACGTCCAAAAAACCCAGTTGCCACCCCTACTCTGATCATGACATGGGGCTGTGGGTCTGTCCCCCACCCCAACCTCCAAAGGATCCCGGGAAAAACATGGGAACAGGTTAATGAAGCTGGCTCCACCCAAGACCCATGCTGGCCGGAGGGGAAAAAAATGAACTAACAGCTATGCCACAGTAGTTCTGCATGTATGTCTTCGTCTCTAGCATTCACCTAAACAGTAATGTCTCCTATTTTGTTGCTGTTGTTAGTGGAATATCTTGATTCGTGGCCCACAACAGGATTTTTGTCTTATCCATCACCTGTGTGCACATCTGGATTCACTTTCATCCCTATCAATTTTACCAGGGCAGCAGCCTTGTGGCTTATTGATGTGATTTATGTCTGTCCTAGGATTTTTACTGAGCACATGCTTGCATACAGAAACTCTGGCTTTTCAACCTTACAGGTACATGCCAATCCAAGAATTATCTGGTCATTAAGAATACAATTCCTGCCAATAAGATTTGCCAGCAGGAGCAACGCACCAGATAAAAGAAATACACTCGCCACTGATACAGCATGATTCCTCAACAGAGTGGACTGGATTTGTATTGTCATCTCTGACAGGCATAAATCTTGCCCACATACACCTGAGATATGAGATGCTCGTGTGTCCTAGCCTCTCAACCATTTCTTTGCTTAAAACTTGATTGAATGCTGACCGAATGCAACACAGCGCTGGCATCATATACTTAATTCACAAATTGCCATAACAAGGAATCTTGCAGTTTTATTTATTTACTTTACACATATCTAAAAAAATTCAATACTTACCGATTTGTGGTTGATGACCTCGTCTTGCAAGGTTTCTCTGTCTGACAGCCTCCTTTATTCTATCTACTTCCATCTGATATCTGAAGACAGACAACAAATATTTGTAAGAAAAATCCTCAAACTGATGTTGTCAATCCAGTACCCTTAGTACCATATTTATCATTCAGAATGTGTATGCTGCCAGCACAGCAGTCGGTCCCCATTCAGATGCCAATATCATATAACAGACGAAAAGAAGTACATAAAAAGAAAATGCAGTCTAATTCTCATATAGATTCCAATTTGAAAGGTACCCATATAAAAGAGTATGTAACTTGTGTTGCAGTCAATGCCCATACAGATTATAATTTCAAAGAACCCATACACAGAAGTATATAACCAGCACTGCAGTCAATTCCCTTACAGATGATAATATCAAAGAATCCATACACAGGAATATGTAACCAACATTGGAGTTAATCCTTATTGAGATGATAATATTAAAGAATCCATATACAGGAATATGTAACCAACACTGCAGTCAATCCCCACACAGATTATAATTTGAAAGAATCCATACACAGGAGTATGTAACCAGCACTGCAGTCAATTCCCTTACAGATAATATCAAAGAATTCATACACAGGAATATGTAACCAACATTGCAGTCAATCCCCTTACAGATGATAATATCAAAGAATCCATTCACAGGAATATGCAACCAACATTGGAGTCAATCCTTATTGAGATGATAATATCAAAGAATCCATATACAGGAATATGTAACCAACACTGCAGTCAATCCCCACACAGATTATAATTTCAAAGAATCCATACACAGGAGTATGTAACCAGCACAGCAGTCAATTCCCTTACAGATGATAATATCAAAGAATCTATACACAGGAATATGTAACCAACATTGGAGTCAATCCTTATTGAGATGATAATATCTAATAATCCATATACAACAATATGTAACCAACATTGCAGTCAATCCCCACACAGATTATAATTTCAAAGAACCCATACACAGGAGCATGTAACCACTGCAGTCAATTCCCTTACAAAAGGTAATATCAAAGAATCCATACACAGGAATATGTAACCAACATTGGAGTCAATCCTTATTGAGATTATAATATCTAATAATCCATATACAACAATATGTAACCAACATTGCAGTCAATCCCCACACAGATTATAATTTCAAAGAACCCATACACAGGAGTATGTAACCACTGCAGTCAATTCCCTTACAAAAGGTAATATCAAAGAATCCATACACAGGAATATGTAACCAACATTGCAGTCAATCCCCACACAGATTATAATTTCAAAGAACCCATACACAGGAGTATGTAACCAACACTGCAGTCAATTCGCTTACAGATGATAATATCAAAGAATCCATACACAGGAATTTGTAACCAACATTGGAGTCAATCCTTATTGAGATGATAATATCTAATAATCCATATACAACAATATGTAACCAACATTGCAGTCAATCCCCACACAGATTATAATTTCAAAGAACCCATACACAGGAGTATGTAACCACTGCAGTCAATTCCCTTACAAAAGGTAATATCAAAGAATCCATACACAGGAATATGTAACCAACATTGGAGTCAATCCTTATTGAGATAATAATATCAAAGAATCCATATACAGGAATATGTAACCAACATTGCAGTCAATCCCCACACAGATTATAATTTCAAAGAACCCATACACAGGAGTATGTAACCAACACTGCAGTCAATTCGCTTACAGATGATAATATCAAAGAATCCATACACAGGAATTTGTAACCAACATCCTTATTGAGACAATAATATCAAAGAATTCATACACAGGAATATGTAACCAACATTGCAGTCAATCCCCACACAGAATATAATTTCAAAGAATCCATACACAGGAATAGTTAACCAACATTGGAGTCAATCATTATTGAGATGATAATATCAAAGAATTCATACACAGGAACTTGTAACCAACATTGTAGTCAATCCTTATTGAGATGATAATATCAAAGAATTGATTCACAGAAATATGTAACCAACATTGCAGGCAATCCCCATACAGATTATAATTTCAAAGAATCCATACACAGGAGTATGTCACCAACACTGCAGTCAATCCCCATATAGATAAATGATAGTATCAAAGAATTCATATACAGGAGTATGTCACCAACACTGCAGTCAATCCCCATATAGATAAATGATAGTATCAAAGAATTCATATACAGGAGTATGTCACCAACATTGCAGTCAATCCCCATATTGATGAATGAAAGTATCAAAGAATCAAAGAATTCTTATACAGGAGTATGTCACTAACACTGCAGTCAATCCCCATATAGATAAATGATAGTATCAAAGAATCAAAGAATTCTTATACAGGAGTATGTCACCAACATTGCAGTCAATCCCCATATAGATAAATGAAAGTATCAAAGAATCAAAGAATTCCTATACAGGAGTATGTCACCTACACTCCAGTCAATCCCCATATAGATAAATGATAGTATCAAAGAATTCTTATACAGGAGTATGTCACCAACACTGCAGTCAATCCCCACACAGATGCCAAAGTCAGAGAGCCAAAGATTCTTAAAGTAATACTGTCACTCACAGTAAGGAATTCCATCTATCATTAAACACTTTCCAAAAGCATCACAAGCATTGACGGCTCCTGCACGAGAAGCTAAAAGCTAATTATGAAAAAAATAAACAAGTCACTATTTGAAATAATTTCGCAAAATAAATATTTTAAAATGCTTTAATCCTGCTTCCTCGTAGAAAGCTGTTTTTCCTACATTTATAGTTTTGGATATGAAGTATCTGGGCAGCGGCCACTATGCCTATATAACAGCTTTGTTACAGGCTGTAACTGTATAGTGTGTAGACACAGTGGGTATGACTATATTCCCCCTTCCCCCAATCTCCAACTTTCTCTAGAGTTTCAGAAAAATAAAAGGTTGTGTTTCCTTTTAATGAATTTTTGAAAAAGTTTTTTTTTCCAAAGATTCTTATGGGGCAATTTTTATAAAGGTCTTTTTTTATGGCGCCAAAAAGAGACAGCAAATGAACAGAAATACTGAAAAGCTCATTTAAATTAAAAAAAAAATTATGGGGCAAAGGGGTTAAAAATGACGAAATTTTGAAAAGATTATTTTTTTTTTTAATTTATGGGGCAAAAGGATTAAGAACAACATGCTAAGAAACACTATATAGTGGAATAACATGTGTCCGTACTACAATCTGAAACATGAATCCTCCACTCTTTCAGTCTCAGAAAGAGTAGCTGCAGATGGTCAAAATAGGGCCATTAGCTACCATAAGTTACTTCAAAGAGTGGTTGCCATTAAAGAAAATAAACTTAGGAAACTTTCTTTCTAGCCAACAAGAAGTTTTCTGGAGTATCTCTTCTCATCACATGACCAAAGAAAACTATTCAAAATCCAGCAGTTATGTATGTTTTACTTTCCTAATTTTTTTCATGCAAATTCGTAGATTTACTCTGGCTGTCTGAGATATTCTCAAAATTAAATTCAGGAAACACCTCACTGTTGCCTACAAATCCATTCTAATTTAACACAAGGAATGTTTCAAATGTATAACCATGAAAAAAAAATGAAACAAAAGTTCAGTTACTCTCTCACACAGACCACCTAGAAAACCGTAGCCCCTTATACTGGCTTCATGGCTTATATAATGATAAAAAGATGGAAAATATGCACTTTCTGGCTGCTTCAGTCAATACAATTTGTAACACTGTCTTCAAGCACGTTGCTATTTAATATCTGTAAATGAATGACCCATTATGTCTCAACATAACAACTCTGGGGCAGAGCTTAGCTGGGTTACAATGATTCTCGAGAAAAGAATTTGTTTAAAAGCAAGGACTTAATGGGATCACATCTGGGACTGAAAAGGTTCAGTAATCCTTAAGGTGGAAGATGTGGAGACTGGGTGGAGTGTTATATTCAATTATAACAATTAACTCTTCAAAAGAATAAGAATTTTCTAACATTGATTAAATATTTTCTCTCTATTTGGATATTCTGCTAAAGCTCAAAAGCCATCAACTTCCCAAGCTGCATATCAAGACCGCAATGAGTTTATATATAGTTATAATGGAAAGAATTTAAAAATTATTACAGGTCAACAAAAAGAAACACAACAGTGTGGAAGCAGTTGTCATGGAACATTAGTCTCCAGTCATGATGCTTGGAGACTGCACAATGGCCATCCATTATATATGAGTTTTCAAATTAAAGTAAAGGATGAAGTCCCTATTTAATAAGAAGAAAAACATGGAAGATTCAGGAAGTAAACATTCAAGGACAGAGTAAGCAGACTATAGCTTAGTAAAACATAAACTGAGGCATGGGGTTGGGGGCAGTCTTCAAGCACAATGATGGAGCGGAAAACTGGGGCTGCAGAAATTCCCAAAATATTATTTTAATTGTTTATTTTTATATATTTTTTACAAATACAAGTACAAATAAGACAATGCCAATCCCAGGACATGAGGTGAGCTGCATGCAAAAGCAAAGAATAGTACAACTTTGCATGAATTGGTTGAGGGCCTTTGCTCCATTGGGGGACAAAGGGCAGAAAAAGAATACCAAATCCAGCAAGTCAGACAGAACGTTTTGAGGACACCCTAAAGTCAATGAGAATGCAAAATGCAATTTAACAAACACCTAAACATAAAGGGATGTTTCACTAGTGTCATATCCAACCCCCCCCCCCCCCCCACCCATCTAGGTTATACACTCAAACCTATCTCAATTTTCTTGTTTACTTTAAACTGTTATTGTATAGTTTTGTACATATTGATAAACTGCTTCAATACAAGCTGTTAGTTTGGTCTTGTTACTTAGGTATGCTTCATCTGACCATCTTGTGTGAAACAAAAGGACCCTTGCAGGAAATACAGAGGACCAGCCACATCTCAGATTTATAAAATATGAAAGACTTTGTAAAAAAGAAATGGAGAAAAATCAGGGGGGGGGGGGGGGGGGGGGGGCTTTACTGCAATCGTGAGAGGGCAGCTGCTCCAGACTGTATGCAGGTTTGCAATTAAACCTTTGCTTCCAACAGATTGTCCATACTACTCAGGATTTAAGCCTAGCTCTCATAACTCAACATAAAGAATTTAAAAAAATGTAAATGTTTCTTCTAAACAGCTTTATGAGCATCTAAAGCCTTCTGTGGTTTATTCTAAATGCATCAAGTCATTATGTTAAAATTTAAGATAGCACACTAGCACTCTAATATGCTGAGATTCTGCAGCATAAGAAATTCTACAAAAATAAGTTAAGCACAGAATAAGATGGTGGAGCTGAAATTTTAAACACAACTGTGTGTTAAAGATTTTCAAATGTTAAAGAGAAACTGTTGCTACAATGAACCTGATACAAGGGTTTTATAACACTAACGATCTGTTAGATCAGAATAATTAGGCATGTTTACAACTTCTGTTATTAAGTCAACTGCTTAATGTGGGGAAACTATGAATATCCCCCACTGGATCTGAAGTCCTCAATCCGTTTAGGCTAAGTTGTACTATCCACTGTCTTTCCCACATTATTCATCTGTCTCCACTGCAGGTTTTATCCCATATGGTTTAGTCTCTCTCCATAGAAAATCTCACTGCCTGCCGACAGGGTCACAAAGAGCTTAAACTTCACAGCTCCAGTATTGATCCCCGGGGATAAAAACTAAACTCGCGACCTGAACGATGCATCTGTGAAATTAACCCACAACCTTCAAAGTGCAAGGCATATGGCTTGACCACTTCACCACGGAGACCCCTGCATGTCTTATTGTGTTTTTATGTAAACTGTAAATTGCTATATTTCAGGTAGCAATTCCCTGGTGAAAGATGGTAGGCTTTGTTTTCTCTGTATTGCCTCACAGTTCTGCTAGGAGAACTTTCTCCTTCTATTGGCTGGCTGAACATTTCATGTTTCCTTGTAGTCTTGTTTAACAGCTGGTTGACTTTGTAGCTGAAGTTTTTCTTCAGAAGCCAATCCCAACATCAATCTTCCTGAGCTGCTTCTCACAACATGCTAGGTAAGGTGCAAGCATTTACTATTCTTGCTTCTCATTAAGGAGCTTAGTTATAATAGACATGCTAAATAATGCAGCCATCATGGTCAACTCAGCCACATTTAACTGGTTCTTAACCCTTTTCAGAATTCTTTATAAATTTAATTTTCCTTATAAAGAGGGTGAGAAGAGCAATGGCCAGCCCACATCAGTGTGCCATTGCCTTGAGAATGTGAAGGCCTAAAATTAAACACTCCTGATGTCAGAATTTGCAAGAGGAATACTTTAAGCACTTCACTGAAATGTTTCAGACTAGTATTTTCACATAATAGTAACTGGTGCTACACATGCACACACAACCAATGCAACATTTATATATATATACATATATATGTGTGTGTGTGTGTATGCTTGTGTGTGTGCACGCGCTCTTAAAAATCTGCTGGTGAATAGTGAGCAGTTTATTTTAGGCTATGCTTGTAGCTCGGTGAAGCCAGTTCTTTTTTAAAAATGTTTCCAAATATTTTCCACCCAAAGTGAAAACATGTTATATAAACTGAGTAATTTACTTACAAAGCTATGCAAATCTGATCGTTACAAAATCACTAGTGAAATTAAATTATTATTTCTACTTTTAATCAACTACATGGTTATGAAATCAATAAACACCAGCTAGGTATACATTTCACACAAATGCTAGATTGTTTCAAACTTCAAAATGTTAACAAAAATGAACCCTAAAAAACCAGTAAAAAAGACCTTTAAAAATATTTCTGATTCTAATCATTTCATCAAATCTGCAAATGGCAAAGGCTTACCAATTAAAACAATCTGTACCACCAAAAACACAATCAGTACTAAGGAACATTAACTCTCTCGGTACCACCCAGTAATTTCGATATCTCTTTGTATCCTGATACATTCTTGTTTGTTTGAGTCAGAAATCTAAGATTAATCACTTATCACTGTGGAGTCCAAGGATTTTAAAACAATAACAACATTATAGGACAGAAGGAGTTAAAACCATCAGGATATCATGAATTAATGTAACAACTGTCTGCAGGAGAAGAAAATCACTAAAAAAAATATTGTCATTGAATGCTGAATAAAGAATCAACATCATAGCACTGGGGACACTCCCATAAGCGCTCTATTCCCCATCCTCAGCAGCAAGCAAAGACTTCCCATTCTAATGGTATTGTCTTTTGGACTAACCAATGAAACCATGGTGAGTTGCATGGCACAGAAAGAGTTTAAAATATTTCTGCTTTTAAGGCAACAGCTTACTGATATATATATATATATATAATTTCAGTAAAGGGCACACACTCATGCACATACAGGCACATATATATACATAAACAGTATTTAGACCAGTGGTTCTCAACCTCCCTAATGCAGTGACCCTTTAATACAGTTCCTTATGTTGTGGTGACCCTCAACCATATAAATATTATTTTTTTGCTACTTCATAACTTCAGTGAATATGTGTTTTTCAATGGTCTTAAGCAACGCCTGTGAAAAAGTTGTTCGATCCCAAAAGGGGCCGTGACCCACAAGTTTAGACTCGCTGATTTAGACCATGAAAAATTTTCCTCCATCTAATCAACTATCAAATCTGCCAGCAGCAGCAGCGTTAGTGTCAGTGTCAAATGCAAATGCTCTACTGAAGAGAACAGAATATATAAGAGGAAATATGACTATTCCATATCTTAATATGTTGCGGCTGTGTCGCTGATACATTGTCCTAAACTAGCTTTCTAGCATAAACAAACAGAGAAATTAAATTGTTAAAAAATTATAATTTCCAAAACCCCATAAATAATTAGCAAAGGTGCTTCTCGGATAAAAGAGGTATGGCTGTTAGCACATAAAAAGGCAGACAAACTGCTGGGGCTACTTGAAAACTTCCAATCAAAAGGTACAATGGATTTAAGTGAACTTGTACATGTGAAAGCAACATTATTAAAACAACTGCAAAATAAAGGGAGGGACAAAAAAAAAGCAAAATCAAGCAATGTTCCTACATCAAACTGGACAACTGTTATGCATCAGATGTTAATGAAGCCCTACTTGCAGGAAGTCAATAAGAAAGTGGTAACCGCTACAGCCTTACTTACTTATCATCATCAGGGTTTCTGTTATGGATAAATGAAAACGTCTTCAGGTTCTACTCAATGTTCCTTATCAAACAAGTGCAAGGGTCATATTCCATGGCAGATAAGGACTATGGCCGTGAAGCTGGTGGCACTTTAAACTTGCTCATATTTATTTTCCTCATGTTGCAGAACCTTCCTTCGCAGAATGACCCTCTCATTTTAGTCTGCTAGTAACCCTCTGATTCCTTGGCAGTTATCCTCTCTTGTGTATTGTCACGCCTTGTTACATTATAGCACGCTGGACAGTATCATAAGTGCTTTGTCCCCATACTGAGCGGTCAGTGCAGAGTTCCAATTCCAATGTTACCTTTAGCAGTCTAGATGTATGTCCATTTTGTCTTTCCTCGCAGTGTTCACTCCCCGCTGCACCACTCTTTCCAGACCGTTATAATCTTATCTATGCTTTAGCACATCCACTCGCTCCATTTTCATGCTTAATATATCTCTTTAAGATTCTGTGCCCATCTTTGTACTAGTCTTCCCCTGCTTTTTCTTTCAGGACCCTTGCCTTCCAGTGCTATTTTTTTATAACCTATGCATTTTTATTCTGACCAACATTTTCATTTGATGAGATTCAAACAGACAAATACACTAATCAAACAGATGCCCTTTTGTTTCTATGTTGTTTTTTTTTTTTTTTTTATTATTATTATTTTCATTCCAAAGAACATTTTAGAGCTGATTTAGCAACCCTGGGTCAATCCAAGAAATATCTGTGGCTGGAAAAGTCCCTCCCTGGGGGTTTAAACCCACACTGACGTGTTGAAAAGCTAGCATGCTGCCTACTACATTACGATGGTTAAGGTAAATATAAAAGTCAAATCTATAAAGGAATCAAACAAACAGTAAAGTTTCCAATGTCCCATTAAATATTTTTCAGACACATAACACACAACTGGAGATTAAAACTAGTGCTATTAAACCAGTGTTTCAACTCAACCAATTTTATGCGATACTTATACAACAAACTTTGAAATGAAGCCAGTTTACTGGTGTCCACATAAAAATACAACTATAAATACCCAAATTATGAAAGAAATTATAAGTTGGGTCACTAAACATATGCATGCATGGCAAGATGAAAATGGGAACTGCAACAAGCAAATGAAAGCTACAGAAAAACTGTTTACCTTTTACGATCTCTCATTGCGCCTTCTTTGGCTTCTTTCAAAGCTGTTTCCAGAGATTTGACTCTTTCCATAGTAGCACGCAGCCTCTTTTCCAGCTTAGGGAGCTCACAGCGGAGGTCGGCATTATCACGCACCAACTAGTATTGAAATAAACAAAAAATGTGACTAGACTGTTTGACAGAGAAGTATGATACAAATATTATTAAACGTTGTAACTGCATTATTTATTGACAATTCCAGATATATTTACTCACACACAAAAACCACACATACAAAATTAAGGCTATCCTCCGAGCCACAATCACATGACTTAAATGCGCACGCTGCTGCTCGTGGGTCCTAGCCATCTAGTTTAGCCCCATTCCACGTGAACGGCGTGGGGGACACGTGGCGGTGGCGGTAGTCGCCGGAAAGCCACCGGAGAACCGCAAATTAACTCACGCGACTGTGGCTCGAAAAGATATTTTGCGGCCGCCATCTTTACCGACCGTTCGTCAGAGGATAGCCAAAATTATTAACCATGAAAATGAGATGTAGGAGAAGGTCTACAGGAGTGGCCAGAAGAAATAAAATCAAGAATGAGGCAAAAAGACAAAAAAAAAAAGCAGAGCCAATTATAAATTACATAGAAATACAGCAAATCAAATAGTTTCCCACTTAAAGAGAATGCCTTTTGACACCACACCATGCAAGGTACACACTGAAAAAGGGAGAAAGGCACAGACCACAAGGCAGACCAAAATCAACATGGAAAGATAACATCAGAGAAACTCTACAACAGTCTAGCCGCTAAAAGAACTCTACAAGAGCATGATGTGTCTATTATCAACTAATATCAAGGTGGCGGCCAGAAGAGCAAGGGCAGGATCTTATCTATCCCTCGACACCCAAAGCGGTAAAAGAAGTGAAGTAGAAGAAGAATTCTACAAATTTAATACAGCAGCTTGAGAACTGAATTATTTCTTCCACTGTTCATCATAATCATATGAAATATAAACAAGTTTAGGCATCAGCACTTGGCATCTTGCACAATACCACAGTAGTAGATCAGGTTTGTGTTCCTGTCCCACCTATGTGGTCAAGCCATCCAGGATCTCTACTGCCTCACTTGTATCACACAGCCAAAGAATCGTTAGTCTCTTTCCCATACATGTGTATAATGTTTTCATTTCAGTACCTTTTCCCAGCAGAATTTACTTACTAAGATGATAAAACTAAAGCTACATTTAAGAAGTAGCTAGCCCAGATTGCTAGCTCTGCTGGTTAAACCTGACTGCATGGCGACCGAGTAACGACCTCCTTGTGGTCCGGTTCACGCCCAGGGGTAGGAAGAAAGGCCACATTTTCTCAAAGATTTACAGTATCTATCATGGACTAAGGCTAAACGGTTGCGATATCTATAATACCGAGCCAAAGAGTTAACAACTCATGGTTTCTGGATACCAAAAAAATTATTTATATATATATATATATATATATATATATATATATATATATATTTTACTTTAAGGTACTAATGCAACAAAAAGTATTCTAGCTAGCTATACTATACTGACCTGATTAGGAATTGACTTTCTTCTTCCATTTTACACTTCAACAGAGAACAGACCTTTAACCATCCTATCATTTGATATCGCAAGCAGCTCACCCTATGTCCTCCCCATCTTTTTAACTTTACTCTCTGCTTCCCTTTTCCATGTCTGGTCTCCTTTGACCCTGTGGGCTCCATCACAAAGACTATACTGCTCTACATAATCTCAATGTGTGTCTTATCAAAACGCACATTTTTCTCACCGCTAGATTCTTTGGAATGTATTTAGTTCTCTCCCAAAAGCTCCACATCTGCGATTCCTTCATGCCATTGAATTCCCTCTTATGAACTGATACCACAGATAAATACTCTAGACGTTAATACTACTGACCTGCTTGTGAACTTTTGTTAGCTGTTCAAGGTTGTTCTCCAAGAAAGAAATCTTCTGCTTCTGGGCAACATGGCCACCAGCATCTTCATCCTCCTCGTCATCTTTCTTGACAGCAACCTATAACAGAAATAGTTAAGTACTTGCATCTATAACCAGTATGTAATTTTACATCTATAGTTATACAGTTTTAAAACCAAGTGAAGTATGTTTATTGATTATAAATGTTATTTCAGTTTAAACACGTACTAGTCAAAGTTGGAGTACTACCAAAGACAAAACAACAGTTGCAGACAAATGCTCAAGGCAACTGATGAACATTAAATGGGGTGAATTCAAGAAAAGTGGAACAAAAACGAGATATGTCTGGATTACAACTTGATTTATCTGTTATGAGACAAAGAAGATGGGAATACACTGTACACACATCATGAGGAGAAACAACAACAAAAATCACAAAATGTACTGAAATGGGAAACAAATGGATTGAGGAAATAAGGACATTCTGGAAAATTGTCTAAGATGAAAACTGTTAAGAGATCAAAGACACAGGACTGGATTCCACCCGCGATATCAAAAGAACGGTACAGGACAGAACGGAGTGGGGGTGGGGCTGGACTGTGAGCCCGATGTGATGTACAATGGGACAAATGGATCCTGATGATGATGATCAATGCCCAGTATGATACTAATCGCTATGCTGAAAAGATGTGTGTCATACAGATTTCTAGCAGCTATTGTAATATTTAGTTTATAAAATCCACTCCAAGGATGTCACGTGACATTATTCACAGCAATAACAACAGGTTATAAGGCAATGATCTGGTTATTATAACTTCCATCACACTTTTAATGTTTTCATTTAAACCACCCCCCCCCCCCCCCCACACCAAATACTACATCCTGGTGCAATCACACACCCCCCCCCCCCCCCCCCCCCCACTGATTAATATTCTTTTCTGAATGCACAATTTCTAAGAGTGAACTCATTTAAGCAATAACTGTATTAGGCATACATTTTATAATCTATTGCTGATGCAAAAGAAATGTTTTTTTTTTAAAGAGTGGGGTTGGGGTGGGGGGGGGGGGGGGGGGAGAGAGAGAGAGAGAGAGAGAGAGAGAGAGAGAGAGAGAGAGAGAGAGAGAGAGAGAGAGAGAGAGAGAGAGAGAGAGAGAGAGAGAGAGAGAGAGAGAGAGAGAGAGAGAGAGAGAGAGAGAGAGAGAGAGAGAGAGAGGGGGGGGGGGTAAACCAACCTTTTTCACCCTGTTCTGAAGATCCTGAACAAAGAGTCTTCTCAGACTGTGCAGAGTCTGTAGCTCTTTGGCCACAGTCTCCTCAAGGCCTTTCAGGTCCTCCCTGGCTTGTTCACGTTTCTCCATCTGGAAGGTCAGCTCTGTCAAGCGGTTTGTCTTCTCAGCCTCCTCGGCCTTAAGTGCATCAAAGTCCTTCTGCATCTTTTCCAGAGCCAGTGTCAACTTTTGGTTTGTGCTATAGATATATTTTTTTTTTTACAGTAAATTAAAGTCTTTTCATCCCAATAGATATGATGCTACACACATATTTTTATAAGCCAATCAGCACTCAATAGACGATGCAGTCAGCACTGTACCAGCTGCCTTTATTTCCCAGGATTTCACTCGGTAAACATTTTATGCTGAGTCAACCTGGTAACTAAGATAATTAGGCTCAAAGTGGATTTGTGAAGTAAAAAGTAAAGATCCCTTTTCACGCCTTTAGGCGCATCGGGCATATGGGAAGAGCACCCATATTTTTACAGACCAATCAGCACTAGGTGGGTAATGTGGTCAGCATTACGCCGAAAGTGGATTTGACCTAAGTCTCTTTGGGCCAACAGGTGAACATCTAGCCGCTGCACTATCATGGCTCTCAGATATTAAAATGTTAATGTTTTATTTCTTCATGTGAAATGATGGAACAGATTTTGCTGTGTTATAAATCTGTCATACAAAAACAATTTGTTTAAATGGTATGGTGACATAGTCTGAAGTTGTATGAAGGAGGTTCTCAAATCACCTGCAGCTAGGATTGAATCAAGCAACCCAGCATTACAAAGTATGTTTGCAATGAATAAGCCCTAGACGCCAATTATCCCAGGTACTGTCAATTATTTCTTATTCAGATGTTCTATACAAAGATACCAAACTGCCCAGCATCTTCTATTCTTCTCTCTCTGTCTTGCTTCCCATGTCACCAAACACTGCAGTTTTCGGCTTCTCACAATGTGACAAAAGAATGTAGACTGTCTCCCTCTGCTGCAGGTTATCATTCTATGACCAGTCTTTCAGTGATTTCTACAGGATAGTCTCGAAAGAAATTAACTAGCAGACAAAATACTACCTCTCATAGTACTAACCTATTCGCCAAAACCATAAATGCTGATGAAAACAGAAAGAAAACATTTTCTGCAGTAAGAAATAACCAATTCTCAACTCCCAACATATAAATTTAGTATAAAACCACATGTTAAAGAGAAATCAGATGGAAACAAAAAAACTCACTCTTTCAGTTCATCAATAAGAGTCTGCTTTTCAGCAATTTCCTCTCTGAGACCAGAAAGTTGCTTCTGGTGTTGCTCCCTGTGGCTTTGCATCTGTTTCTCCAGAGCTTCCTTCATCTCAATTTCAGACTGCAGCTTGTTGGATGTTTCCAGGACCTTCTGGGTGACTGTAGCATGCACCGTTTCTGAAAAAGGGAAGCATCAAATAACTAAACAGACGTTAACCGAAGCAATAAATGAACAGGAAATGGGAGGAATTCAAGAGGAAAGAAATAAGAGAAATGTCTGGGCAACCACTAGTATTACCAGTTATACAACAGAGAGGATGGCAATATATGGGGCATATTCTGAGAAGAGATAAATAGAGAATATGAAAATGAGACATATTCTGAGAAGAGATGAACCAAAAAGGCATTGAAATAGGAAATAAAGGCAATGAGAACATCCAGGAGAAATCCTGACTTGAGCTTTTATGAGACAAGCTAAAAGTGCTGGACTGGATTCCATCAATGCTATTGAAATGATTGCACAGGATAGAACATATAATTACACTACGGGACAATAAATGAATGAATGAATGAATAATATGGTAAAGAACCCTTTTCCCCGCCTTTCAGGCATATTGGGTATACTGGGCTAGACCTATATTTTATAGACCAACGGCACAAGATGGGTGATGTGGTTTGCATCACGCCGACCGCCTTTACTTTCCAGGACTGCACCCGGTACCAACTCACGACTGGGTCGACCTGGGAGCCAAGTTCGTAATTTTTTTTAAGTCATCCGCAGGCAATGACAATGGCATCATGGTACAGAAAAGAATTAACAACAAGCTGGTCAATATGCCTGGTATATGCAGGTGCAATGAACTGTCTATTAACTTCTAGAATCACCAGGAAGGTTAATCCGGTCAAGAAATGCCTGCAGAAATCAGATGTGTCGGCCGTAAGGTGCAAATATCACTGCCATGCTGTTAACAAACACAACATGTTTACATGTTCAGAAGAATACAGAAGAAAAATAAGAACCAGCATGACCTACTTCCACCAAAATACAGGTACTGAAGTGTGAAGCTATCTCTCTCGGTCTCTATACAGAATACAAATGGTTTTGGGGGGGAATGAGAACTTACCACTGGCCTTAAATCTTGCCACTTCTTCAGTAAGAGAATCAACATTTTCCTCCAACTGTCTTCTTTTGTGCTCTACATCTTTAATTGTTTCAGTCAAGGTAGCCATTTTCGCTTCATACTGCAAAAACACAGGTTAATTAAAACTTTCAATATGTAACAAAAACAATATTAAAAAATGTGGAAGGGGAAAAAATTACATTTCAGCAACTCAAAGGCAACACAGATTAAACAGACAACAAAATAGGTTTTTTCAATAAAACAATTTCAAAATTAAACACGAACAATGTTTTTCAGTAAACTCACAGTATAATCTGCTCTGCAAACTACAATTTATATGTGCCTATTATTTTATTGCATAATGCTAATTGTATCCATTTCATTTTTTCTGTCAGTAAACCCATAAATTAAAAGTATATACAGTTAGTAAGAGGCGGGAACCAACAGTCAACATACAAATAAGCCAGGTCTGTAAAACGGATGTGTATGCAAAACTCAAGTTCTGGAACAAGATCAAAGTCCAGAAGTGGGTGAACAACCATAACCTTCCACCGAAGTTTGCAGCCAGTGAAGAAGAAGAAGAAGAAGAAGAAGAAGCAGGAGGAGGAGAATCCCCAGAAAAGGCAGGATGATTTTTGTCTCATCAATGCCACTTTGGAGTCAACCCAGCCTCATAAAAATGTGCACCATAAATTTTCAGAACTATTGGTAAATATCTGGGAAGGCAAGGTGACCCACACACAAAAAAAGGGGGGGGGGGGGCGTGGGGGGGACAGACCCTTTCACCTTTCATATGCCATGGCCAGGAATATACCATTTACCTGAAAATAAGACCAGGTCTTATATTAATTTTTGCTTCAGAAAAATGCTCTATGGCTTACTTTAGGGAGATGTTTAATTTTTTTCTAAATTTATTCATGTACACAATTCTACATTTATTCAAATACAGTCATGAGATCTACTGCTGGAACATCTTCATAACCTTCAAAATCTTGAATTGCGGCCTGAATTTCAAGTGCCCATCAGTGCCATCTGTACTCTGACTAGCCATTTGGCAACAAGTCTCTCATTCTGGCTGATGATCTAAACCAGGGCTTATTTTTGGGGTAGGGCTCATATTTAAAGCATCCTGAAAATCATTCTGGGGCTTACTTTAGAGGAGGGGCTTAATTTCATGCAATTACAGTACCACATCGCAACAGACATCAGTTATAAGCCACATGACTAATGTTTCATTCTATTTTCTTTCTGCCCTGGCGACTGATCTCTCTAGTAACATCTGCTGCTGTGAGGCTATCAGTTGAGGTTCCAACTTCATTGTAAACAGGTCACCCAACAACCGCTTTATTCCAAAGTCACTGGAAACCACACAAAATTTCCATCTCTGTCCCATGCCAAAAGTCAAACAGACAGCAGTTACAGTAAAATCAAACCGTTCACACATGCATCAAATGCACAAGGCAGCCACCAGAAATCCTATTCCACTGGAATACTGGTCAGAACAGGGTCAACCACATAAAGGTGAGGTAAGCTTGAGCAAGAGAGGCTAAGAGACATTAGGAGTCATGTATTGCACATCAATGCTTCATTACACTCTGTTGCTGCTGTCAATACTTCACAAGATCTAGGGACTCAAAAACACATATGACTGTTACATTGAGCACTAACCACCACAACTTTAAGCTGCTCTGTGATTTAACTCACCTGCTGGATCTTCAGCTGGCATTCTGAGAGCTCTGAGCTTGCATCCTCCAGCTTCTTCTGGCTTTCAGTCTGAGCAGCATCCAGGTTTGCAGCCCGGTTAGCTAGAGTCTTCACCTCCGACTTCATCTTGCTGATGTACAAGCGAGCTATGGTGAACTCTTCTTCCAGCTTCTCCCCAGCACCACTGTTAGGCTGCAGAGCACAAAACACGGGTCATAATGTACGATAGAAATATCAAGTCACAGCAACACATTGAAAAAACTCTTCTCTTTGACCCAGGTTATGATGGGCAGCAGGTGATGTCTTGGAAAGTAAAGGCAGCAGGTGTAATGTTGACATTATTCATCGAGTGCCAACTGGTCTATAAGAATTAGTTTAGCATCACATGCCCATGTGCTGACGTGAAAAAAAGTGTTTTACTTCCTACAACAGGAAGGTTTAAATGCTTCTACCCCCCCCCCCCCCCCCCCCCCCCCCCGAAGATTTCACTCCAAATTTCATACCTAGGTAAGATTACCTGCTGCTTCTTCCCAAGTATTTTTAACTGACATTGTTAATTGAAATAGTGGAGTGTTCTTTAATACACTTGTCTCTGTACACTGTTGCTGTTCGCAGACTCAAATTATTTAGTTCCTTGACTAGATTTCAATCTGCCATTTCGCTGCTCTATTTATCAGAATGGGACTGTGTCCACTTATCTTTTTTTTTTTTTTTTAATGAGAATCCATAGTTTCTAATATCTCAAACACTAAACTACTTCAAGTCACAAACCAAGAAACTTTAGACAATATGATAACCAAGAGAAGATGGAAATGACTTGGCCACATTATGAGAATGAATCCTGATATACCTGCCAAAACAGTTCTCACATGGACACCAGAGGGAAAGAGAAAACAGGGGCGCCCAAAAACAACACGGAGAAGAACGATGGAAAGTGACCTGAGTGCGGCATCTTTGACATGGAAAACTGCACTGAAGATTGCACAGGACAGGAAAGCATGGACAGTCCTCTCTGAAGCCTCCTGTGCCACTAGGCACAATGAGAACTAATGATGATGATAGTTTCTAATACATTTTACAGCCCTGCACATTTTTCATGCAACTTTACCAAGAGAAAACAACACAGTTATAGTAAAGGACACGCCCTGTACCTTATTTTCAGCAGCACTGCCTCCAATGACAGAGCCGATGTCTCCAAGGTCCTTCAGCAGGCTAGACATCATTTCTACCACCCTCTTCTTCTGATGTGTGGAGGAGTCACGTAACAGTTCTAATTCAGTCTGGATGCTGTTCAGTTTTGTCTGAAACATTAGTTATTTACAGATTTTATTTTCATAACATCTACTGGAATATTATTTTATAGCTTTTCTGAAATCAATAGATTAAAAGCTGTAAATACCTGTAAATAACACTTATCACTAGACATTTTTTTAATCTGGAATCCATAAGGTAAGAAGAAATATAGATATCTAAAAATTTACAAAGATAAGAATCAGGGATAAATAAAATGGCAAAAATGTGGAAGTAGCTGCAAGAGAAAGCAAAGGCCGTAAAAGAAAAAGTAAAAGAAAAAAGAGTGCTTTAACTCCACAAGTGTTGACAGGTATAGATATGAAGCTGGAGGTAATAGGGATTCATTTTAATTTTTTGGTGTGTTGGGAAATGAGCAGGCAGATAGACTGGCCGGCTCTACACCACTTGGTGGTGAAGTGATGTATGACAAGCTAGATATTGTGAGGACCCTTTGGGAGTGAGTGAACAGTGCGAAAACACAGATAGATTATTAGGATCTGAGGAGAATGGCGCTGCAAGGAGTTACTAGGGGATCTGGCAAACACTAATACTCAGGTGAAGGGCGAGATGGATATACAATCAGACAGTTGGGGAAGGGTGAGATGGATATACAATCAGACAGTTACTTTCACCATGGGAATTTGAACTCTTCCTTTGCTGCTGAAGATGGGGAGGGAGCGATTATGGGAGTGTCCCAAGAGCTGTTATGTGGATTCTTAATTCAACATTGAAATGATAGTTACCGTTTTCTGGTTGATCTCCTCAGTCAGCATCTCAATTTCTCTAGCCTTGTTTTCCACTTCCTGGGACTTCTGGTCATAGTTGACAGCAAGTTCCTCCAGAGCCTGCAGGACCTCTTTCACCTCTTCCTTGGCAGACTCATTGTCCGCCTGGATGCGAGCCATCTCAGCCTGTGAATTCTCATAATCTTTTCGGCAGCTGGCAATGAGTTCCTCCTGTTCCAACATCTGTTCTCTTAGTTTTTCAATGAGTTGTCCCTGGCTGTTGATCTCATCGTCCTAAGTGTAGAAAATGTCAGTTAAAATGAATAAGCCTTCAAAAATAACTAAATGCCTAAACTATTTTGGTACCAGAGAACAGTTAAAGTAGTTATAAGCAACACTTTCCCCATGTGAGCTCTGGCGCTCCACTCTCAGGGGTTAAAAAAAAAAAAAAAAAGAACAGACAAGCATGTTGTAAAAGGGTACTAATTAGGTGTGTTTTCTTCACAGAGTACATCTGCTTATCTGTTTAAGAAATAAGGAACCAACAGTCTGCATACAAATAAGCCAGATGTGTAAAATGGATGTGCACACAAAACTCAAGTTATAGAAAAGGAAAGTCCAGAAGTGGACAAACAACAAGAGCTTTCTGCCAGAGTTTACAACTGGTGAACAAAAAGAAGAAGTAGCAGCACTGGCAACTGATGCGTTCCTTGGTAACTAAAGAGTTAAAGGACATTTTTATCTATAAAAACAATTATATAAATATATACTTCACATAACCATCATCATCGTGAAGTGCCTTGCCTACTGGTGTGAGTGATCATGCCTCTCTGTATATTTTGATCTTTACCAGCAAGTACTTATTTGTACTCTTGACACCTTTCCATGCCATGATAAAAGACTATTAAGAATCTTCTCTTGCTATCTTCCTCTATCGTGCATGCACTTGACAACTCATGCTTTTGTGTTCTTTTATAATTTTCATAATATGCATATCATCATATCATCATAACATGCTTTATTAGTAAAATACAACTGATGTGCGAAAGATGGTTGACTAGGAGGGCCGAATGTAAGACGGGCCTGCGTGCCCAATTTGTGACCCTTTGAAAACAAATGTTTGTTTGTTTGTTTGTTTATCTTTCCATAACAATTTCCATATGTTCTAAAATAATGATAACTACCTCTTTATGATGTCTGTGGTAAGTTCTCTTTCTGTTTTATCCTCCACATATATACAGCAAGCATCTCCGAAAAGGGATTACGATTCAGGTTTTGCAGCAAGAGTAAAATAATTTACACAAAATATTAACTGGCCGAAGATAGATCAAATCTTTTCAACAGTTGCACACATAAATGTGCTCTGAATAACAAACTAACAGAAAAATTGAAAGAAAACAGGTAAGCTTGGTGACAGAACTAAAAATGTAACAAATGCAGGGGCAAATGTGTGTTTACAGGTGAGAATATCTACTTTACCACATCAGTCTAAAGCTTCCCAAGTAGGGTTCCAGGGCCTCAGTTCAGGAGAAAAGAATGTACCAACTGTCCCCTAACAAGCATGATGTGAAAAGTGACTAATTAGGCAACAGTTCTGATATTGAAGCCTAGCAGTAAACTAGAAACAAACATGCCAACTGTCCTACTAAAGGTGAACACAGAAGAAGTATCTTTATATATGGCAGAAATATTTCCCTTTGCCTCATATATATATATATATATATATATATATATATATATATATATATATATATATATATATATATATATATATATATATATATATATATATATATATATATATATATATATATATATATATATATATATATATATATATATATATCTTTAGCAATTTATTTGTCTCAAATTTAACTGTAAGTTGTTCATTATAATTATATTCATATTATTAAGCATTACCTTGTCATCAAGTTGCTGGTATAATTTCATCTTCTCTTCTTCAAACTGTGCCTTCTCAGCCTCTGGGATTGCACTGATACCACCACTGACCATGCCAATGAAACTGGACTGCATGACAGCATTTTCTTTGGCTGCCTGACCAGCTTGGCCTGCCTCACTTTCCAGTGCAACAGTTTTAACATCAACTTGCTCTTCTATTGGCACAGTCTTGCCTACGGAAACAAAAACATCCAGAAATGTGAATAAATTTTTTTAGCTCTGTGCTGTTAAAAAAGTATATACAAAAATATAGGTACTCATGTTCTGTTTAACAAACAAAAAAAGAACAAAGTCTAGAAGTGGACGAACAACCAGAGCCTTCCGCCAGAGTTTACAGCTTATGAACACAAAAAAGAAGAAGGAGGAGGAGAAGGAACAAGAAGAAGAGGAGGAAAAAGAATAGGAGGAGGAGGAAGAAGAAAAAGAAGACTTGGCATGTGATGTGCTCCTAGAACCAAATCATCATTTAGTTCGCTATTACAAGCAATGGCCAAACATTCTGAGTAACTGAGAAACAGACAGGTGTTTTCAAACTATTTTCAAGTGTTTTCAAACTATATTAATTGAGAAACAGATAAAACTGCTCCTCAAAAGATATTAACTGAAGTTCCAACATAAGTGCTATCTTCTTCTTTTGTCCTACTGCTATATGCCATAAAGCCTCGCAGAGAGGAGTTAGATGTAGTTTCCTGTCTTTTGTTGCTTGCGTAGTTTGTGTTAATATCATACTGTGTTTCTGTTGTTTCTATTTTACTTCCTCCACCCATCTCTTTCTTGGTCAGCCTCTTGACTTCTAACCGGCTGTTCTCATGTAGTATGCTCTAGCAGATGGCTGATTTTGCTCCATTCTGACCAGGTGACAAAACCATTTGATTTTCTGTTGTTCTATAAAATCATTTACCAGTACTGGGCCTACTATTGTTCTTAGTTCATTGGTGACTGTGTACTTTTCGCCATGGTGCATTTCTTAACATCTCATCTCACATGTAATATTGCATTTATCTTTTTCTAGGACTGGAAGTGCTATCAAACTATATTAATTGAAGAAGAGACAGAAGTGCTATCAAACTATATTAATTGAGGAAGAGACAGAAGTGCTATCAAACTATATTAATTGAGGAAGAGACAGAAGTGCTATCAAACTATATTAATTGAGGAAGAGAAAGAAGTGCTATCAAACTATATTAATTGAGGAAGAGACAGAAGTGCTATTAAACTAACTTAATTGAGGAAGAGACAGAAATGCTATTAAACTAAATTAATTGAGGAAGAGACAGAAATGCTATTAAACTAAATTAATTGAGGAAGAGACAGAAGTGCTATCAAATTATATTAACTGGAGAATAGACAGAAGTGCTACCAAACTATATTTTCTGAGGAACAGATAGAGTGCTAGTAATTTATATTAATTGGAGAACAGACAAAGTACTATCCAACTATATTTAGGAACAGACAAAAGTGCTATCACATTATATAAGATTAGGAACAGACAGAAGTGCTATCAAACTATGTTAACTGAGATCTACAACAGCAATACTAAAATACTCTACTAACCATTTCTCCATGACTGCAACTCTGCTTCCAGTTTCAAAATGATCAACTTCATCTTATTGTTCTTCTCCTTCTCACGCTCGTATCGTCTCTTCCATTCTTCTGCTGTTAGTTCCTCATTGACAGTTACAACATTCTTAATTGTCTTGGCTCTGGAAAACAAATAGTTCTTTGAGACGACATTCCCAGTGGATTCGTTAAACAAAAACATGCCATAGGGAAAAAGTGACAGTAACTTATACTGTTCATTTGTTTATTTAAAAATCATCTTCATCACACATCGGACATGACCATAATCGCTCCGATCTCTTCCTGAGTGATGAAATTTATATATAATAGGTCACAGTAATCTGTTGTGAGTTGAGGCATCATAATAAATTCAGGAAGTTTCCCTATAAACTGGAGTGCATCTTGACAACAACAAAATTGGAAAGGAAGAGTGTTAGAGGGAGAAAAAAAATAAGAATATACTGGTCTGTTTGGCTTCACTGGATGAGAAAACATGTATGCAGGTAGAAAAAAAAAAGAGAGAAGATATTGGACAATTTAGCATCACAGGATAAGAAAATATGTATCTTATCAGAGAAGGACACTACATGAGAAAGAACACAGTAAACAAGGGTGATCTCAAACACTACACAGAAGGGTAGAAAATCAACCAGGATGCAGCTGTGTTGAACCACACAGAGTGGTGCACTATGACCAGGGTTCATGGGGTTAAGATTTATCTTCACCTCTCTGTGGTCACCCTTCAAACAGATTCGCAACTGGGGGCCTGGCCTACATAGATAGCTTCAATGTTTCATTCAAAGTCATAATGCATCCTGCCCGAAAAGCAAGGAACTAACAGTCTGCACACAAATAAGCCAGATCTGGAAAAACATGTGCATGCAATACTTAAATCCTGGAACATGACCAAATTTCAGAGTGGACAAACAACCAGGACTTTCCACCAAAGCTTAAAGCTGGTAAAGGCAAAGAAGACAATCACATCACACTTCTACCTTTATAATAATGATGATGATGACAACAACCATATTACAATTACTATTTTGCAATATATTTTCCATAAATCTGTATTTAACAAATCTGTCTTCCTGCCAAACAGTGATCTTCAACCTTTTCTTCAGGTGGCACCTCCCTTGATCATATGACTAAATTTGATTATGTCTAAATTTGGTTTAAAAAAAGACAAAAAGAAAAATCCCAAGTACTGTTTAGAAGAACTTAGAGAAAAATATACAAATACTTTTATGTGTCAAATAACTAAACAAACAATCAATAATAACTGGTAATTTAGTGTCCAAATATCAATGTGATGGCTGACACTGTTTTATCTTTATGAAATCTGCTATATCTGGTCTGATGTTGAACGAGGCACAATGGAAATCACTCTCCAATCCAAGCTGGCAATGCTGCTTCGTTTTAATGACTGTTAAAGCTGATAAACCTGATTATTTTGTCCAAATGAACTTAATTTCTAAACTGATTGACACCCAACACCCTCTCCCCTAGGTTGGAGACCACTGCAGCAAAGGCATGAGGTTCCACTTTACTCTTTTTCAGTCCCAGAGGATTTAGCATCAGAGGCCCAAGGGGTAGTAAAAATCAGCACAGCTTGGGTTCTTTGAGCTTCCAGGTAGTAAACTATAAACGTATGATGTATTCCTTGGGACTGAAAGATTTGAAGCAATATTTTCTCTCACTAACTCACCGCTGTCCAAAAAGAAGTGTTGACTTTGTTTCAACCTCATTGTATGAAGCCGGGGAGCAACAGATGACCATGGTGGTACGTGCATTACCGCCCAAACTTTCTTGTAGAATTCTGGTTAATTTACTGTCTCGGTAAGGGACGTGAGATTTCTGTTTTGAAATGAACAAAGTTTACAAAAACACAATGAATGTCACAAACAATAATTTGACTTGGAACAATAAATTCTACAACCTTAAAAAGATCTTGTTTTGAACAAAATAATGTTCAATTTCATTCATATAAATCACATAATATGATTTAACAAATAAACCAACAAACTATAAATTAACCAATGTTGGTTTTATATTCTGTTATATTCTCCTTTAGATAACACTAGGAAGTTTTTAACCTGGGGTACAAACTGAGTCATCAGCAATGCTCAATGCATAAATTCTAAGGTACCAGCAAGCCCAGAGAACTCTGAGATACCAGCAAATCTGGAGAACTCAGAGGTTTCAGAAAAGCCCATAGAGCCAACCAAGGTACAAGAAAAGCCAAACAACAAGCTCTGAGGTATGAATGGGGTGAATGCTGAATTAAGAATCGACATCACAGCACCGGGACACTCACATAAGCCCCATGTCCCCATCTTCGGCAGCAGGCGAAGAGTTCAAATTTCCAATGATACCAGTAACTGTCCGACTGTATATCTGTCTCGCCTTTCTCTTCAGTGTTCAGAGTCAGCCAGATCCCCTAGTAACTCCTCGCAGCGCCATTCTTCTCAGACCATAATGATCTATTTGTGCCCCTGCACTGTTCACTCGGTCCCAAAGGCTTTCACAACATTTAGTTTGTCATACATCAATTCACCACCAAGTGGTGCAGAACCATTTGCATATGGTGCATACTCTGAGGTATGATTAAAAAGCCTAGTGCACAAATTCTGTTAACACAAACAACATATGCAATAAATTTTCTATTGCTACAGGTTTACGGATATATGCCAGGTGGCCTGCACAGCCTATTCTTAAATATGTACATTATGTCATTTTCTTCAAACTCTTAATTCTCCACAGTGATGTTTTATTTTTTTTTTTATTTTTTTTTTTTGCTTTAATTTTGTGTGTTACTTTTTAATGTTGTTGTTTTAAAAAGCGAATTGAATGTGTCTTGTGACAATATAGAGAAAACTCACATTTCCATCAGCCAGAGCAGCAATGACATTGCCCAGTGCAGATAGAGACTTGTTGATATTTTTAGCCTCATCAAGGACTGACCCTTCAGCTCCTGTTTTACTGACCTGGGGAAAGGAAAGCAAGGTTCAATTTCAAGTGAGAGATACTGCATATTAGAGCCAACACATAAAAATTGTAATATCACTATCTGGTTTCTCTAGGTATTGCTTAGGTTATGTCAATTAAAACCAACAAACTTTCCCACATGTACCACACAGGAGGTTTAGAAGCTATGACTGCAAGTGAATACACATGTCCATCAAGTGATCCAGGGTTTAAATCTCTCTTAAGGTAAGAATTCTTCAAGAACATGTGGCTCCAGGGAAGATGTGTATTGGTCACAGGTATCTCCTTTTTCTGACAAGATGATCAAGGCTCCCAGAATGATCCACCATGTGAGCAGAAATTACGGTATGTTTCTGGAAGTAAAGTCAACCAGTCTGACCATGACTACAAGACCTATGTGCCAATTTATCTATAAAAATATGGGCTACAACATCCCGGACAAGCCTCAAAGACATAGAAATGAGACGTAATTATTTTACTCAGGTGACTCTTGGATCGATCCAGCCATAGAGGCAAGGAAAGTTCAGCTGTCGGCAATCAAGTCACTTAAACAACTATTCTCTCAGACAACATTCTGTGAAACAGTTCAGATTTTTGCTTGTCCTGAGTCAAAGATGATATTCTACAGTTTCTCCTCAAAAATATGACAGAGATATATTAATTTTTGCTCCATAAGAGGTCTTTGAGCTTATTTTCAGGGAATGCTTGGGTATTTATAAAAAGTTAATTATAATTTATCCTATAATTGATTAAAAGTCATTAATAAACATTTATTATTACATTTATGTGTACATTATTTATTTATATTTATTATTATTATTATTATTATTTATTTATCTGTACATTGCTTTACAATTCAAAACTTCCATCGTGTGTTTCAACAGACAAATAAAATTTGTCCAACTAGCTGATTATCTTAACCAGAGCTTACATTTGTAGTCAGGCTTATATTATGAGCATCCTGGGGAAATGGTTTACTTTTGGGTAAGGACATTTGTTTTTTCAGGGAAACATGGGAAGTTATGGAATCATACCTTTTCACTACCAGCCAAATCCACTAGATACAGCTTGCCATGCAATTTCTTTTCATTTTCTACATTCTCCTGTTTTACATGAATCAGAAACACACTGTGACTTCGAGAACTGTGCTCATTCATGTCTGGAGGAAAAAGAAGAAGAAAAATGTTTCATGACAAAAGAAGAGAGCTTAAGAACAATTAAAACAAATTACAATAAATACGTTGGAACCAAAGAAGTGCGGTAGTTAACATTCTTGCATACCAGCACAGTAATTTTATATCATGTGGTCATAAGGGCAGCATGTATATGTCATTATCATCTTCATCTACACACACACACACACATATATATATACATATATATATATATACACACACACACACGCACATACATATAAAAGCTGTGTGTATGGGCATGTGTATATGAGTGTATATTTGTGTGCGCATGTGCGCGCACGCGCGCGCACACACACACACACACGCACACACATGCGCACACGCACACGCGTGCGCGCGCGCACATGCTGCAATAGCAAGCTACTAAATATAAAATTGCTTATTGAAACCATAATCAGTAAATAAATATTAAAGATGTTTGTGATGTCCTGAAGATGACAGGCAACTTGCTTCACAGGCTACAGTGTCACTTTTATTTGCTCCCCTTTTTTTCATACTCTTAATGTTGTTGACACCTGAGACATTCACAAGTGATCACTGTTGCCTGTCTGCTGCTTTTCTGCCCATGGTATCTCATGTCAGTTTACCCTCCTTCATTTCCCTTTCTACTGTCCTCCAGGTTGGTTCTTAATTTATAAACAGGAAATCCCCGTGGGAAATCTACCGCTGACCTGACAGTCCATTATTTCCATTAAGGGGTGCTAGTGTGCTGTTGTGTGGTGCTTTTTTGGAGTGTTCATCTAGTGTCTTCTAATCCTGACCCTAACCCTAACCCTAACCCTAACCCTAACCCTAAACTTTACTGTAGAGAAATCGCGAGAAACTGCAACCTGAACACCCTAGAATTTATTAGGAATGTCTCCCGTGACGTTGTCGTGACGTCAGGGGTAAGTTATAAATTAAGTACCCTCCAGGTTTCCTTAGGTCGTCCCTTACATGCTCCAGTTACATACTGGTGACGGCCGACAATAAAACACTGAATATTTGGGATAAGAATACTTAGTGTATTCAGTTACAGAAGACAGATTTTATTTCTCTCAGTTGTGAAAAATATCAGAAATATATAAAACACTGAATACTTGTGATAATAATACTTAACTAAGTTAATATTTACAGAAGACATCCAATTTTATTTGTATGTCATTAATCCAAGCATGAACAGTGTCATACAAACTGCATTCAAAAGAGGTTAAGAGCCAGAGATTAAGTCTCAGTGTGTGTCAGACCAATACACTGTGAAGTGGGTACTGTACTTAAACAACACAGAGACTGGAACAACAAGTCTCTGAACATGTGGTAGTGTCTGTTATTCACAAAGCGTACGTATAGACCAACAATTGTGTGATCAGAAATCAACAGCCCAACCAGGATATTCTTTTCTGCAGCACTTTAAAAATAATGCTGAAAACAAAGCCTGTCAAAGACATACCAGTGTGTTGGGAGAAAATGAACTGATAAAGCAAATATATCAAGAGAAACCCAAAGCGAATGTCGATGAGATTTCCAAGGTGCTTGACTGGATTCCATCCATAAAACTGAAAGGACTACAAAAGATAGACTGGAATAACTGTGATCCCTATGAGGTGCATATATGGTGGCAAGACAGGATGATGATGACGATAACGATAAGTACAAAGCTTAGAACCAACACAACTTTTTAAAAAATTCTTCAATTGTCAATTGTCAAACTGATCGCCTACTTTCCTTTCAAACTGCGGAAGTGATTATTTACAATTAGTGGATTACAATCATATAAAGAAATACAGTTGAAACATACTTGTGACAGCAACATGTCTGTTAGACTTTCCTTCCTCGATCACATCCATGACCTCTTCTGGGCTGGACACAAACCTCTCAGTGCAACCCTGGAAAGTAGAGAATATTTACACTTATTTACAGCGGCTTTATGCAGAATTAAACTAATAACATACTATCTGTGTACTTAAAGGATCTTCTACAAGGTATTAAAAGACAAACAAGCGGTAATAAGGTCAGTAGTACAATCTACACTTTCCCAAACACATCATAATACTGCCTCTTTATATCAAACCTGCACAAATAATGTGACAATAAACTCCAAGAAAACCGAGGCAATGAGAATAGACAGGAAACATAATAACATTAACATTCATGTTAATGGTACTATAATAAAAAAAGTAAGAGAATTTCAAACATTTAGGAAGCATATTTACAGAAGATGGCAAACTAGATAGAGAGACGTCAGATCAGAGTACAGAATGTGAATGCTACCAGCTAGCACTACTGCTTAGACACCCAAATCTCTCCCTTCCATCACAACAGAAATGATTAACAGCATCTTCATCCCTACTTTATGTTAAACAATGAAAAATATGGACAATTAGTAGAGTACTGCAACAGAAAATAACTACCTGTAAAATTTGCTATATCCATAAGGTTACTAACAGCACAAGAAGGGACAGTGTTATGAAGACCAGCATTAGAAAGAAAGTTGGAACAAGACTGTGTCTGAATTATGATGACAGACAAAGAATGAACTGTTTCGGCCAAACAGTGAGAATGCAGACAGATCAACCTGCATATGAGACTTTTTACAGCAGAACATCTGGGAGGAAGGCTCAGGGAAAACCAAGAAAGAGATGGATAAACGGTGTAGCTGAAACCTGTTAAAGGATGAACAAATCCATCACTCAAGCAACCAGAGAAGCGCAAATACAGAAAACCACAACACTGGTTATCAGTGAGAAATCAAAACCAGATAAATAATGACATATACGCGTTCGTGTGCATGTGTGCTGTGTATGTGTGCACGTGTGTGTGCCCGCATGCGTGTGTGTATACATACATATGTACATGTCATTATTCATCTTCATCTGCAAACACACACACACACACATATATATATATATATATATATATATATATATATATATATATATATATATATATATACACACACACACACACATACACATATACATATAGATACATACACATGTATATGTCATTATCATCATCTACACACACAAATAAAAGATGTGTGTGTATGTGTGTATGTTTGTGTATGTATGTTTGTGTGTATACGTATACATATGCACATACACATAAAAGCTGTGTCTGTGTGCATGCACACATATATGTAAATGTGTGTGTGTGTCTACACATACATGTATTTAAAACAGCAGTAATAAAAACTGCATGGCTGTCACATACCTTCACATAAGGAACCCTATTTTTGTCTTCATGAACTGATAAGTTTGTCTTGGTTACTGTGGAATAAAGTCAACGAGACAGAAATGAAGCAAATGTAACATTGTATCATGACTCTGCATTTCTATATCTCTGCTGCATCTCTTCTACCTCTCTGTGCAATAAAAAACATAATCTTCTGGTCTTTCTTATGTAGCCTAAAATACGTATTTAACGATTGGTACCTTTCTGCCTTTCCAGAGGTTGGTGTTATACTGCACTATGAAGAGGCATGGGACTCACAGCCCATTGTGATGGGGAGTGTGACTAGCAAGACTCGAAAATCCTTCCACAATTATAGCATGGGTTTCACCACCATTTTTGTCAACAATTGTGTTTAGTCTGTTTCTTCTCAGAGGCTCGGCTCTAAATCCTTTCTGCAATCATTTCTTCCTTCTCTTCCTCATTCCCTTCCAAATGTACCCCCTTCACACAACATGGTCCATGGCATTTTGTTCATACAAATTTAAATATACTTTTATTTTATTTTTTATTTTTTTAAATTAAAAAACAAATTTATGCTGTTTATAATTGTCAAATCTAAGTTAGCACTTTACCTCACAAGGCAGGAAGAAAATAGTGAGCCCCAGAAATGGTAGGCTGCAGATTGGTGTGTGTTATCTACTCTACCACTACAGCACTATAGGCCAGCTTAAATATTGTTACTAATTCTACCAGCCTGGAAAATTGTCAAGTTTTACATTCTGGGTTAGACATAGACAGTGTACCACTCTAGAAATTCTAGAACAATATGTTACGTGCTCTTCTTCTTCCGTACTTTCTTTTTATTTTCTCTAGTTCTACGTTTATGAATTTAATCATTTGAGTTGGTCAGCATTTTGATAGACAAAATAGAAGAAATATGCTAGTCTGTCTGTCTTTCTGTCTAGTCTGTCTGTTTTACCCTTTAGGATCCGGTCTTGAAGAAGCACCTGATAAGAGCCCTAGTGCGTGCTGTGCAGACTGATATTCACAGCTTCAGAAATGTCATCTTTTCACTGTTTGTGTAGACAGCCTTTAGCTCTGTTTCCATTGTATCTGAGTAACAGGGCTATCTGTGGTGCTGTGTCCTGTACAGTTTTAATAAATATCTGAAAACATCTGATCTGCTGTCCCTTGATGTATTTCAGCGCTGGATCCATTCCCACTTGTTTCTTGATATTGACGTTTCAGAGTTTCTTCTTGTTATATTTAAGAACTGTAGACGTGTGTTGTAAAACATGTGTTATAGATACGTGTTTTATTTCTGATGTTTCAATTTTGTTATGTGTGTTTTATTTCTGATATTTTGTTTTTCTTTTCCCTTTTTCTGTTAATGTCTAAGGTCTCCCACTGGTAGCACAATTGTGGTAAAACTTACTGTATTTTAAAGTCTTCTTCAAGACACAACTGATACATGTTACTTCTGCAATACTGATGACATCTTTCCAATTATAAGATCTGCTGCTTTATTACATCGATTATCTATCTCATAAAATTGTTCCACTGGATGATATTATGCCCCCAAGATATTTGAAAGCTCTAGCTTGTTTGAGTTGTTTCTTTTCTGATTTTGTTATCTCTTCTAAACACCATAAATTCTAAGCTGCAGAGTAGTGTTTACTCAAATACAACCCTAGAAACTGTAGACTTCATATTCATGTGCTAATGTGGCTTTAATATCCAAAATATTTTAGAGTGAATAATCAGACTGTTAATTCTGTTACAACTAGCACCATCACAATGGGAACTCTTCAACGGCTATTCAAGAAATGGACAATACAAGTGCAAATATCCCGGGTGCTGTTTATTTATTATTCACTGGTCGAGTATTTTTTAAAATTATAATCTCTGGTTTTATTATCAAATAGTTTTTCTTTTCAAAGAAAAAATATTTTTAGACCTGTACAGATATCTGATTTTTATTGAAAATATAAACAGACATTAAATTCTCACCGTCAAGTAAATCCCTGATCTTGTCCATGTAAATTTCAAAATATGAAACCTGTAATGAAATAATTTATATAAATGATACATTTACAGAAGTAATGTGCAGAAGAAAATCATGTAAATAAAAAAGAGGATAGCCCAACACTATACTTAAGGTCACTCGTTTTCAGTGTTGATGAGTAAGATACACTTAAGACACATACAACAGGACTGCTTGTGCACCATGGCCAAACAAGAATGTATTTGATCAACAGAAAAAAAAACATGTTAATAAAATCTTCACGATAACCTGCAGAATTTGCAACAATTGTGTGTCTTTAGGTAACAAATTAATTTAACCTTATATCCTAAGTAACTAGACTGTTAAAAGACACGCGTAGTTATCCGATGGTGTGTCTCTATTAGTTTATGGAGAAGCCTGTATACCTAAAAACTACTGATGACCCTGACGAAAAAAAACTTTCAACTGATTAGGGTTTTCTTGTGTGCAATTTGAACAATTTTACTTATTAATTTACAAAGATTTTAAATATCAAAATTACAAAGTCATGTTCCTTTCTTCTTCGTCTTCACCTTCACCGCCTGTAAACTCCAGTGAAAATTTCTTTTTGTTCATCCACCTCTGGACTTTTAGACTTGTCCCATAAACTGATGCACTCTGACTTCGAAAAAATTAGTCGACTTTTACAATATGTTTGTTGGGAAGGCAGTGGGTCTATTCTTGTTTTCCCAAGAACCCATAGGGGTAACATTTCCATCTGTAGCAAGGTATTTTTTTTCTTTTTAGTAGCTCATTTCAACTAATAAATGTTTAGGGCTAAGGTGAGGCATGAGGCAGGACAGCTGGCAGGGGACTGAATTTCATTCAGGTAAGATGTGATGAAAGCAATGTTCTCCAAAGGACCTGCTACGTGATGATGATGTTTCAAAGCACTAACTATGAAATCTGTCTTCAAACCCCAATATCAATCATATTTTAATTGTCAAAGATTCATTTAGGTACCAAAATACTGATCTGATCAAAATATTAACTACATGCAATTTTTACACTCTCAACCGTGTATGACAGATACACATAAAAAAGAATGGTGAAAGAGAAATATGTAGACTGGCATTAGCCTGCAGCTAAGGTTAAACTGATGTTTTTTTAGTAGTTCAGCAATTTTTCTTTATTTTTATTATTTTTCTTTACAATTGTTTTCAGTATTTAATTTTAACTAACAAATGTTTAGGGTTAAAATGTATTTAAACACCACCTTCAGAAAGAAGGATTTAACGCAGCCATTGGAGTAGGGGGTTAATTTAATAAATAGATAAGGTAAAATGGTTAAGAATAGTATATGATGTAAGCAAAGTCCAGCAAATGCATAACGAGTTGCTAGGTAATGATTAGGTTAATGACAGAATTCCTGGTGGTATTTGAAAATCATCCTCATCATCAACATCATCCTGTAACACTGTGTCGTTAGGTCATCATTTGCTATTGACTGCCTGATCAGCTCCCTTCTCCTTTGACAGTCAGATGGAATGGACTTCATGCCTGCATGTCTAAGGCCTGTCCAGTCAGTCAAGTTCTGTATCCAGGTCTTTCTTGGTCTGCCTCATCTCTTCTTCCCCACATCTGAGCTTTGTAATATTCTTTACAAGAGGCCATACCATTGAATTTTCCATCTTTTCACTATGATTAAAAGAGGATCATAGTTGCCAGTGTGCTGGGTTATTATACAGTGAACCTCGTCATCTGTGATGTAGTCTGAGAACATACAAGAAAGAATATTCTCTATTCTTCTTGTATTCTCTTAAACAAAGATCACAGGAATCTCTGAGTTAATATTACAATCAATCCACAACAGGATGGCTGATGGTACATACCTTGATATGAAACTCAAGGTTCTCATCCATACCATAGATGTAGTTGAAGATATCTTGCACAATTCTTGGAATAATGCCTTGCATACTATCATTACCCATGACGCCCTGTGAAAAACAAAATACATGCATGGCTAAAGAGGCAAAGTTCTAAAAAAAGACAATAATGTTACTCTTAATAAATCAAATTCCTACCTTACATCAACTAAAAACTGCTGACCAGTTTCCATGTGTTTGAAGTGACCTGAAGATTCTGCACACAGACACAATGTTTTTCTCCTTCTTCTGCCCTTTATCCTTCAGTGGAGCACAGGCCCTTAAATAATTTACATCAAGGAGTCCTATCCTTTACTATCGCATCTCCCCTCCCCCTCCCCCTTTTTTTTTTCACTTACACTATCTAGCTTCCTTCTCTGCATTAATGTCTTTGCCTTAGTGGGTTCCACAGTAAAGACATTCTAGTTATACTGTTCTCACTTAAGAATGCTGATCTCATTAGATGACATGACTGTCTAATTAAGTATAAGCCCTATCTTATTTCACGATCATCATCATCTTTCATTGTGGTCCAGTTCTCAGTGAGTGACACTGCCTACTGTTATTCTCTGCTATCCTTTACTATCGCATCCTCCCCCCCCCCCCCCCACCCCCGACTTCTCCATCCTTCAACTTAATACTAGATATAGCTTCCTTCTCCACATGTTTGTCTGGTCTGCCTTTATTTATATGCCTCTGTGGGTTCCACTGTAAAGACATTCTAGTTATACTGTTCTCACTTAAGAATGTATGTTTACACTGATCTCATTAGATGACATGATTGTCTAGTTTAGTAAGTGTAGGCACCATCTTATTTCACGATCATCATCATCTTTCATTCTGGTCCAGTTCTCAGTGAGTGACACTGCCTACTGTTATTCTAGGTGAATCTGCAAAAATTAAATGTTGTCAATCCATCTTCTTCTTTGGCACTGTATTGCTCTTGTATCCAGTCTTCTCAGATGTACTGCCTGCAATGCTTAAACCATTTCATTGTTTCCCCCTCAATGTATTTGGCACAGTAGTTATATATCATTCCTGTTCCAGACAATTATTTTCTCTTGGAATCCACGGTATCTGCAACATTTGTCAAAGAAATAACCTTCTTGCTGTCTCCAAGCTCTCTTGATTTGTTGGTTAACAATCCTAGATTCACTGCCATACAGCACAATAGGTACAATTCATCATTACAGCGCTCTTTTCTGATATTTAATGAAAGTGACTGATTAAAGGAAGACTATTATAACTGTTGTAGTTTTTATGTGAAATATACATAATAACAACATTGTATAGTTAGATACTGACCTCCATCGTATGTGTTTTACCACTAGAAGTTTGTCCGTATGCAAAAATGGTTCCATTGTAGCCACTGAGAACATCTGTAAAAACAAAAATCAAGAGTATATAGGAGAAGCTCATGGCTTAAAAAAGAACTTTGTGCCGTTTCCACAATGAAAGCTGGCTACAGACTATCTATTGTTGTCTTTGGGAATATCTGGGTATATTATATGGTGACATCCTCATTTCTTCCATGGTGTGACTCTTGTACCACTGTCCAAAAACATTAACAGCAAAAATCAAACACTAGCACTCGAGGATGACAAAATTGTTAAAAGCTCTTACTAATTGCTTACCGGCATGGCACATGATAATGATGATGATAGCTGCTGACACAGTTGCAAGAAGGACATCAACTGGCCGCAGTCTTGGTACCTGTTATCCCCATGTGGGTTCTGAGGCCCCATTTTAGGGGAAAAGGGGATTTCCCACCTCCCCCCCCCCCCCCCCCCCAAGCATGTTCTAAATGTTGACTAATTAGGAGCTGCTTCTTTAAAAACGTCATACTGCATCTGTCTCAAAGATGAGGAACCAACCATTTGCATACAAATAAGCCAGATCTGCAAAACGGGTGTGCATGCAAAAGTGAAGTTCTGGAACAAGACTAAAATCCAGACGTGGATGAACAACCGTGGCTTTCTACCAGAATTTACAACCAATGAACTCAAAGAAGAAAGAAGAAGAGGTATCTGTCAGCCATGATTCATTATATTGCTACAATTAGGAGGGCAAACCCACGCCTCATTTCTCTACAAGAAGTTCAGCTGTGGATTTATACTTTTAGTGACAAAGGGGACACAGGGGGTGACTTTCAGTTGTTGTGTCACTGTTGCTACATTCCTATCAGATTAAGAAGTTCGCTATTATGTGGTCTTAAGCTGGCACCCATTTGATAAAGCTGATTCACTGCAAAGCAAAGAACCCTTTTCCTTGTCAGTGGCACATCGGTGCATTGAGTATATGATACTTTAATAGACCAATCAGCACTGGTTGGTGAAGTGGTCAACGTCACGCTGGCGACTGGTTCATCGTGATCAGAAGAAATGCTAATGCCACTGGAGACTGAGCCCTATACAACAGTATTAGTGGGTGTGCTAACTAACCACTACAAGGTCCCAGCACTGCTAAAAACATAAAAATCTGTTTGCTACTACAGTTCTGCCAAACACTACAAAATGTTTAAAAACACTATGTGCTATTATAAATGTTTCCTAATACCAATAACATTTTCATTCTCAAAGATTTGTTTGGTCACCAATATAAAGGCTGACTAAAAAAGAAGAGAGAACACAAAGAAACATTTTCTGCAACTTTCAAACTCTCAATTCTGTATAAAAAGAATAGCTGGGGGGAATACAGACACAGGTGGGGTTTGATTGATTTTTAGATGCTGAATCATGCCTTTTTATTTTAATCAATTAAATGTGTTGCCCAGCGATTAATGATCACTTTGATATGTTGCATTCAATTGTCAACTCCCTCTCATTTATATTCCCTGGATATTTGCCCGGTTGGCAAGGGATAAACAATTTTCTGAGGCTCTATCCATATAAAATAAGAGTTGGTCTGAGAGTAACCAATATAAGCTATAAAAATTACCAGTACAGTCACAAGTCACCCATTTCTGTTAAATCTGAAGCTAATGTACACAGGATAGAAGCTTTATTCATTACCAGTAGTTCAAGTCCTGCCATTTCCCACCTTCTCAGTAGCACCTGCTACAAAATTATGTGTTGCCTTTACTTGGTTGTCAAGGCAACAACCCAGTGACGAGTTGTGTGCATCTAGCAAATTTGTAATAACTGACCTGAGTTCTAGGTCAACCCAGATGGAAATGGCAACAGGAAATTATTGGGAAATAAGTCGCCTAATGTGATGATGACCACTTGACCCAATAAGTGCCAAGTGGTCTAAAACAATGTGTTAAGCCCCATACATCCAAGACGAAAATAGCATGTAAACGGTCCTTCCAAAGCTTATATGGTCTTGTCTCTGTGAATGCTGAATGAATACGATATTCACAATTATTTTCTTCTTTCCTTTTTCGTCTGCCTGTCATCTCCCATTGCATCATAAGTCCTTAATCAATTATCATCAACCTCTTCACAGACGTGTTCATAAAAGGTTGGATAGCAACCGTTTTCTTTGGGAAGCGGTGCAGTCTCATACCAAACCTCCTTAGTCCACAGAGTTAATATTCTTTGCTTCCGTTACGGGCATCAGTGACAGACTATCTGCCACAGCGAGCCATACTAAAACGTTACAACGGGTATAGAGCGAGTGGAAGACCTCGGTAAATTACGGAGTGATGGCATTAAGAACAGCCATACAGAAATGAACATCAGTCTTAATAATGCTCTTGACAGAGCTCATCAACGAATGTTACATCTCCCCCCACACTTCGCTGAGGTACAAGGTGGAAGAGAAGAAGTGACACAGTGGTATTAACGAGTCTTATGACGCGCATGTGCTGTTACTACTACTTCTTACTACAGAAGTAACAGCTTCCTACAACAGAAGTAAAAGAGATACATGCTTTTTTATGAGCATACAGTATTGCACAAAATTACAGTCACCAGAAGAAAGCAAGACCTGTTCTTCACTGGGGTGCTGCAGAAATCAGATGTGTTGGGCCGAAGATATTGCAATCTAGCTGTAAATCACAACACACAAAGCAAACCATCCTAAAAATGGATGTGGAGGGGGAGAAGGAGTAGCTGGAGGGGAGAAGGAGTAGCCGGAGGAGGAGGAGTAGCTGGAGGGGAAGAAGGAGTAGCTGGAGGGGGAGAAGGAGTAGCTGGAGGGGGAGAAGGAGTAGCTGGATGGGGAGAAGGAGTAGCTGGAGGGGAGAAGGAGTAGCTGGAGGGGGAGAAGGAGTAGCTGGAAGGGGAGAAGGAGTAGCTGGAGGGGGAGAAGGAGTAGCTGGAGGGGGAGGAGTAGCTGGGGGGGGGGGGCGAGAAGGAGTAGCTGGAGGGGAAGTAGAAGCCTGTTTACCAATGACAACACATTTACATTTACCTCAGCTACAATCGACAGGAAATCAGTATAGAAAGTATTCAGCCACGGCCCAATAGCAAGCAGTACATTCTCGAAAGCCAGCTGCTGTTTACAAGCACAAATAGATTACCAAACTTTAACACACTGCTCAATAATAAACCTCCCGGTATGAATACAGCGCTCCACGGTCGATGGGTAAGTATTGATCACAATCAGCAACAATACAAGAAAGCGCACATGTAGAAAGCCGCCCGCCACGGACGTCTGTGCAGCCATAAAAAACCAGCTTATTAAAATATCATGCCACCAGCTGGGGTAGAGCTGACACGTTGGGCCCCGGAATGGGAACGTTATTGGAATACCTAGACCAGTGGTCTTTAATCTGGGCTACCAGAGGGCCCTCACAACGTCTAGCTTGTCATACATCAATTCACCACCAAGTGGAGGGGGTGAGAAGGAGTAGCTGGAGGGGAAGTAGAAGCCTGTTTACCAATGACAACTCATTTACCTCAGCTACAATCGACAGGAAATCAGTTTAGAAAGTATTCCTATACCTATCTGGGTTCCACAGTGAATAGTAAACTATCGCTGGGCCAAGAAACCAACACCAGGATAGGTAAGGCAGCAACAACAATGAGCAGATTGACAAAGAGAGTTTGGGAGAGCAGAAAGCTCATAATTAAAACAAAAACCATTGTCTATCAGGCTTGTGTTCTCAGCACTCTGCAATATGGCAG